TCTCAGTGTTCATGACAGCTGCAGCGTCTGCGGAACTAAGGTTACCCGCCTGTGGACCTAAGTTACCCACTTAGCCGGCGCCTCTTCTGGGCGCGGCCACCATCAAAACATCCTCGGAGTCGTCATATACGTCGACGACTCCCAAGCATCTGCCGGATGCTTTGGTACCCTGGCAGCCCTCGCGGGCGCCCCGGGTCCTGACAGAGGTGGGAACATGACTCACCAATGCTCTGTCGGACTGCGCAGGGCGGCTGGCACCGATTGCCTTGCCTCGCCAGTCGATCCAGGGCTCGTGCTTCTCAAGCCAGGGCATGCCCAGGATCATATCATATGGATCCATATCGAGAACAGTGAACTGTTCGAGGCTGTCAAAGTCTTCAAACTTGACAGCCAGATCCACTTGGACGTTGGGGACAGTGACGACCTTCCCGTCGGCCAGTCGCACTGACACCGTCCCGTTGCCCTTGCTTTCTCGCAAAGCTTCGGACAACTTGTTGCTGTTACGAGCAACCGTCTGGCGGCGTGCGAAATTCTTCGACGCCCCAGAGTCAATCAAGATTCTAAAGGGGTGATCGTACCCCCGTACACATCCGTGTACTACGAGCAACCCGCCGCTGCTCTTCGCCGATTCGAGAGTGCGAAGACTCTCAGGGGCTAAGTCCCCGTGGTACGCGCCACCCGCGCACCCATCACGAAGACTTAGTTCTTCCCCAGTAGGGCGCCCCGCCCCTACTGGTTCCCTGCGTTCCCCTGTCCCCGGGATCCTGGCTTCTGCCAGCGACCCTTGAGGACGGGCTTGGGGAAGGACCGTCTGCGGAGTCTTTCCGCGGGACAGTCGCGCTTGAAGTGGCCCATCTTCCCACAGCCGAAGCAGCGGATGTCACGCTGTTCGGCGGACCCGAGTTCCATGGGAACTGGTCCGTTGGGGCTTGTTCGACCGGGAGCCGACAAGGAACTCCCAGGCCACGCTGAGGCCGGCGTACGCGCCTGGCGATGGCTGTATTCTTCTTGAAGAGCCACTTGAATCGCCTCTTCAAGGGTGCTTGCCTGCACCCGGAACAGCTGAGTGCGTGCGGGGCCCACTCGAAGGCCGTCCATGAACACAGTCATCTTGATGTGTTCATTGAGTGGGTTTCCCACTAGGGACGCCGTGAGCTCCCGTATCTCTTGCACATACTCGTGCAGTTCGCGTCTTCCTTGTTTACACGCGAGGAAGCGCGAACGCTGGCGGTACTCGTAGTTCGCCGGGAGGAACGCGGCTCGGAGCTGCTCGCACAGCTGAGCCCAGGATGTGAAACATCCAGGGGATGTCGCTTCCCGAGTGTACACCCAACTCTTAGCACGACCGCTAAGGTTGGAGAGTGCAAAAGCAACACGCAGTTGCTCGGTCGAGATCAGAGCCGCGTCCATCGCGAGCTCTACTTCTCGGACCCAGAAGTGAAGGTTCTCGCCTTCCTTCCCTTCATACGGCTTTACCTTCAGCCGTATTGGCTTCGGGTGAGGCGGGTTTGCTTCCGCCGCCGGAGCCTGCAGGTTCTCCCGCACATGCGCGATGAGGCCCTGCTCGTACGCGTCGAATGCATTGACGCGCTCGAGCTGCTCAGCCGGTGTTGATACCACCAGGCTCTGCAGGGCCTCCATCCCGAAGATGCCTGCCATCTTCCGAACCGACTCGAACTGAGAGTCGTTCATATGGGAGAAGTCGTTCCTATCCATGGCAACGAACTTCGGAGGTTCAGGTAGTCTACCCGCGATGGCGTGGATTGACCAACAAGTGCTACCAAGTGTGACGGGGTCACACAGCACCTTGCGCTAGAGGAAGTTATCTTCCGAGAGTATACAAACTCTCAGTGAACGGCAGTTCACAGGTTTCCTCTTTAATTAAAGAGAGCGAAGTGACCTAAATAAGGTAGATTGTAAACTGAGTATATTTATAGGTAGGTTAAGTTTGAGGTTAATACAAACTATCAGTTACCTATAGAAATGCAATGTCATTTAACCAATGGTTAGTTTTGAATGACCTTGGTACCTTGTACCAAATATCCCGGAGTATGACATGTCATACTCCTGAAGTGTGAAGTGTCACACTTCATGTAACCAGGGTACACTTAGTGCTACGTACCCCGTTACAGCTCCCTATGCGTACGCAAGCTTCCGCGGTCGATCCCTTTCCGCATTGAAGTGATCTCAACCTATGTGACGCGTCGTGGTGACACGCTTTTTTCAGCTGCATTTCACGCCTAGATGAATGAATCGATTATGCACTTTCCGATGAGGTTTGCAGCTGCGCTAAGTTCGCACACACTTTGTTGTACTTTTTGGCTTCAAACTTAGGATTCAAATTATGCCCCAATAATCGTTTGACCCCAAACGATTGTGGAAGCTAATGGTTTCTGTTTATCATGGCAGACGCGCTGGTAGGCGGTGGTGTGCGCGTGATTGCCTATAAAATGAGAGAAGGCCGGCAATAAGTGCGCCTAGACGAAGTAATTACAGCGAAATACTATATGTATAACGTAGTGGTAAGTTAATGACAATTAGTTTAGGACCAGAAAGGAAGACAACATCCAAAAAGCAAAATTGCAGCAGTCAATTTATAAGTGTTCAAACAAATGTTTGCTTTCCTAATACAACTACCATTTGCGGCAAGAAATGGCTCAATTCTTGGGTCCTTCAATTAGCCACTTGATGCCGTTGCCGCGCTTGACATTGTCGAAAGCCTCCTTGGCTTGCTCGAACGGGACGGTCTCGGAAATGAGCTCCTTGACGCTCAGTTTACCACTAGCAATCATGTCAAGCGCTAGCTGGTAGTCGCCAGCAGAGTACCGGAAACTGCCAGTCACGTGAAGCTCCTTGCCACACATGATGCCAATGGGGAACGTGATGTCAGTCTTGCCCATACCTCCCTGGGTGAACGTGCCACCGTTGCGTGCGACGTAGATTGCCGTCTGGATGCAGGGCTCCGCTCCACTCGCGTCGATGACGACGTCGGCACCGTCACCTAGTCCACACTCGGTAATGATCTGCTCGGCCGCCTCCTGTGGTGTCACGCCGGACTTCCCCTGATACACGTGAGTCGCGCCGTGCTCCTTAGCGAAAGCGAGACGTTTCTAATTGACGTCCACACCGACGACTGTTGTGGCTCCGAACACGTAACGAGCCACTTTGCAGGTCAACAGACCCACGGGACCGACACCAAACACGACGACTTTCTGACCCGGGGACACCTTGGCCAGACGGCAGAAGTGAACGGCCACGGCTGTGGGTTCGAGCATCGCTCCCTCTTGCATACTAACGTTGGACGGCAGCTTGTAGCAGAAGTCCTCCGGCATGCGGTAGAACTTGGCCAGTGTGCCGTCGTACGGCGGCGTGGCTGCGAACGCCATATCCGGACACAAGTTGTAGTTTCCCTCGAGACAGCGGACGCAACGGCGGCACGGCACACCCGGCTCCATGGCCACTTCGTCACCTACTTTGAGAGACTTGACGGGGGATCCCACGGCGTGGACGACGCCAGCAGACTCGTGGCCTAGCACCATGGGCTTGTCCACCACGTACTTGCCGATACAGCCGTGCGTGTAGTAGTGCACATCACTACCACAGATTCCCGTGAAGTGGACGTTCACGATCACGTCAAGCGGGTCCTTGATCTCAGGCACAGGTCGGTCCTCGTACTTGACCACGTCCACCTTCTCGAGGACAAAGGAACGATTCTGCTTCGAAGCGAGATTAAACAAGAGTCTGTTGGGATCATGATTGAGCAGAAACTGTTTACCTGAGCAGTCGTTGTCGATGGAGCCATTGCTGTTGAGGTGTTCTGGGGTGGAGGAAGAATTGAAAAGTGAACTCTGGGAACGGACGCGATATCGTCAACTATGATTGGCACTATCTTCAACTTTCCCGATAGCTTCAACCACAATCACAGGCGCACCACGCGGTTGGTGGTGGAATCCCGTTCTACATAGTTACACCATGCAATACACGTCCAGTACTGCACCCCGTTTTCGCGGGGGTGGACCACATGGGATTTGCAAATAAATCAGATTTAAGCGTACAAATCATCGTTCATTTGGATTCAGGATCATAACATCCTGAAGTTTATCAAAGGTCCGAGGGCGCGAAAACGGGGTGCAGTACTGTACCAGCCGCGTCGTGCCCCACTCAGTGGGCCACTGGGGGGGCCCAACCGGCTGCGTGCGCAAGAGTCCTGCCAGGACCTATCCTGTCCATCGATAAATTCGTTTGAACAGAGCTGATAGATAGATGGTATAGGCTCCTGCGCGCGTTATGTCTTCAGCGTGATTGCCAGTCGTGTTTACAGGGAAGCACCCATATCTTGAGAGCGCGTACCCCCACCTGAACCCGGGCCTCAAATATATAAACCACGCTCGATCTTACTAAGGCGAACATTTTTAGCCTTCTTGTAATGTGATACCACTCCGATAAATCATTTTGGTTTAATGAGAAAATTTAATTAACATCTACGAATCTTTCTGAAACGCTATTATTAATATATCATTAATTTTTAAAAAAGTACTGTATTGGTGTCAATCCGCCCCGTGTAAACAATTCATTACAGTATTAGTCTGGCTGAGCTTTTGCTGCTTGGAGTCGAGTTAACGGCGCTCGAGTTTACAAGTTGACAGGTTGACCTTCAACTCCCTGTAATGTGCTGGCTAGTAGCCAGTGGCTACATGAACCCAAACAAGCTCTAACTTGATTCATATTTATTTTACTGTTATTATGCTATTAGAGCATCTCCACCGGTGGGGCTCTATATCTATATAGCGACTGAAGAGCTCAAATTGATAACTACTGGGGTTTCACCAGGCGTCTCTATCGCCAATTTTTTAGCTACCGGGGGGTTTCGGTCGCTATTTCGGACGCCATAGCGACTGAAATCTATAGGAGGTTGGATCACTTGCAAACGAACAATGCCTCGAGGAAAAGCTTGGTCGGACAAGGAAGACGCCGCCCTGTGCGCGGCGTGGTGCGCTACCCAATCGCAGGGGCCGATCAGAGGGCGGACAAGTG